TCCCAGTGCTCCCAGTTCAGGCTGTCCCTTACTGGGGGGCCTCCAGGCCGCATTTCTCCCCTCCCAGTGCTCCCAGTTCCCCCAGTTAGGGGCTGTTTCTGACTGGGATGGGTCCCTGGGGGTCTCCAGGCCCCCTTTTTTCCCCTCCCAGTGCTCCCAGTTTGCCCAGTGTTCCCAGTTCGGGCTGTCTCTCACTCTGGGGGTCCCTGGGGGTCTCCAGGCCCCATTTTTTCCCCTCCCAGTTTGCCCAGTGTTCCCAGTCCGGGATGTCTCTGACTGGGATGGGTCCCTGGGGGTCTCTAGGCCCCCTTTTCTCCCCTCCCAGTGCTCCCAGTGCTCCCAGTCCGGGATGTCTCTGACTCTGGGGGGTCCCTGGGGGTCTCCAGGCCCCATTTCTCCCCTCCCAGTGCTCCCAGTTTGCCCAGTCCGGGATGTCTCTGGCGGACGAGCTGCTGGCGGACCTGGAGGAGGCGGCGGGGGAGGAGGAGGAGGCCGAAGGCTCCGAGGGGGGGGAGGAGCCCCCGATCGAGGAGGTGCGCGAGGAGCCCGAGGAGCCCGAGGGCGCCGAGTCCGTCAGGAGCATCGCCAAGCTCTGGGGGAGCAAGGGGGTAAGGACTGACTGGAAATGTCCCAAAACCAGCCCAAAAATATCCTGAAAATGTCCTGAAATTGTCCTGGAATTGTCCTGAAATTATCCTGAAAATGTCCTGAAATTATCCTGAAAATATCCTGAAATTATCACAAATTTATCCTGAAATTGTCCGTGTGCAGCATCGCCAAGCTCTGGGGCTCCAAGGGGGTAAGGACTGACTGGAAATATCCTGAAATGATCCTGAAAGTGTCCTGAAAATATCACAAAAATATCCTGAGATCATCCTGAAATTATCCTGAAAATATCCTGAAATGATCCTGAAATGATCCTGAAAATATCCTGAATTTATCCTGGAAATGTCCTGAAATTATCCTGAAATTGTCCTGAAAATATCACAAAAATATCCTGAGATCATCCTGAAATTATCCTGAAATTGTCCTGAAAATATCCTGAAATTATCCTGAATTTATCCTGAAAATATCACAAAAATATCCTGAAATTATCCTGAAATTATCACAAATTTATTCTGGAATTGTCCGTACGCAGCATCGCCGAGCTCTGGAGCTCCAGGGGGGTAAGGACTGCCCAAAATGGCCTGAAAATATCCTGAAAATGTCCTGAAATTATGATCCTGAAAATGTCCTGAAATGAGCCTGAAAATGTCCTGAATTTATCCTGAAAATATCCTGAAATTATCCTGAAAATGTCCTGAAATTATCCTGAAATTGTCCTGAATTTATCCTGAAAATGTCCTGAATTTATCCCGAAAATATCCTGAATTTATCCTGAAAATGTCCTGAAATTATCCTGAAAATATCCTGGAATTATCCAGAAATTATTCTGAAAATATCACAAATTTATCCTGAAAATGTCCTGAAATGTTCCTGAAATTATCCTGAAATTATCACAAATTTATTCTGAAATTACCCTGGCATTGTCCGTGCGCAGCATCGCCGAGCTCTGGGGCTCCAAGGGGGTGAGAACTGACTGAAAATGTCCCAAAACCAGCCCAAAAATATCCTGAAAATGTCCTGAAATTGTCCTGAAATTATCCTGGAATTATCCTGAAATTATCCTGAAAATATCACAAATTTATTCTGAAATTGTCCTGGCATTGTCCGTGCGCAGCATCGCCGAGCTCTGGGGCTCCAAGGGGGTAAAAACGGCCCAAAATGGCCTGAAATCACCCCAAAATAATCCTGAAATTATCCTGGAAATGTCCTGAAATCACCCCAAAAATATCCTGAAAATATCACAAAAAATATCCTGAAAATGTCCTGAAAATACCACAAAATTATCCTGAATTTATCCCAAAAATATCCTGAAATTATCCTGAAAATATCACAAATTTATTCTGCAATTGTCCGTGCGCAGCATCGCCAAGCTCTGGGGCTCAAAGGGGGTAAGGACTGCCCAAAATGGCCTGAAATCACCCCAAAAATATCCTGAAAATGTCCTGAAAATATCCTGAAACTATCACAAATTTATCCTGAAAATATCACAAAAATGTCCTGAAAATATCAGAAAAATCTCCAGGAATTATCCTGAAAATGTCCTGAATTTATCCTGAATTTATCACAAAAATATCCTGAGATGATCCTGGAATTATCCCAGAAATATCCCGAAATTATCCCAAAATTACCCTGAAAATCACCACAAAAATATCCCAAAATCACCCCAAAAATATCCTGAAATTACCCCAGAAATATCCTGAAATTATCCTGAAATTATCCTGAAATTATCCCAAAATTCTCCTAAAATTATCCCAAAATTATCCCAAAAATATCCTAAAAATTACCCCAAAATGGCTCCAAAAACCACCCCAAAAATCAAAACCCCAAATCCCAAAACTCCCAAATCCATCCCCAAAAATCCCAAATCAATCCCCAAAAAAATCCCCCAAAAATCCCCAAAAAAACCCCAAAAAATCCCCAAAAAANNGTTCCCAAACCCCAAATTTTTGGAGATTTTTGGGTGGAATTTAGGGAATTCTGGGTGGGATTTTTGGGAAATTTGGGGGGATTTGGGTGGATTTTGGGATTTTTGGGTGGATTTAGGGGAATTTTTGGGGAATTCTGGGTGGATTTGGGTGGATTTTGGGGATTTCTGGGTGGGATTTAGGGGATTTCTGGGTGGGATTTAGGGATTTTTGGGGATTTCTGGGTGGATTTTGCAATTTCTGGGTGGATTTAGGGATTTCTGGGTGGATTTTTGGGCAGATTTTTGGGATTTTTGGGGCTTTCTGGGTGGATTTTGCGATTTCTGGGCGGATTTTGTGATTTCTGGGTGGACTTCGGGGATTTCTGGGTGGATTTTTGGGATTTCTGGGTGGATTTTTAGGCAGATTTTTGGGATTTTTGGGATTTCTGGGTGGGATTTTTGGGTGGATTTTTGGGGATTTCTGGGTGGATTTTTGGGCAGATTTTGGGATTTTTGGGGATTTCTGGGTGGATTTTGGGATTTCTGGGTGGATTTTTGGGTGGATTTTTGGGATTTTTGGGGATTTCTGGGTGGATTTTGGGATTTCTGGGTGGATTTTTGGGGATTGGTGGGGTTTTTGGGTGGATTTTTGGGATTTTTGGGGATTTCTGGGTAGATTTTGGGATTTCTGGGTGGATTTTTGGGCGGATTTTTGGGATTTTTGGGGATTTCTGGGTGGATTTTGGGATTTCTGGGTGGATTTTGGGAATGGCTGGGATTTTGGGTGGATTTTTGGGTGGATTTTGGGATTTCTGGGTGGATTTTAGGAATGGTTGGGATTTTGGGTGGATTTTGGGTGGATTTGGCCGTTTCCGGGCAGTTCTGGGCCCGGTGGAGGCGGCCCCCGAGTACCGCGTCATCGTGGACGCCAACAACCTCACGGTGGAGATCGAGAACGAGCTCAGTGAGTGCCGGTTTGGGGGGATTTGGGGGGATTTTTGGGGGATTTTGGGTCTGATTTGGGGTGTTTTGGGCTCAGACATCATCCACAAGTTCATCCGGGACAAATATTCCAAACGCTTCCCCGAGCTGGAGTCGCTGGTGCCCAACGCGCTGGACTACATCCGCACCGTCAAGGTGGGACCCCAAAACACCCCAAAATGGCAAAAAACAGCCCGAAAATGGCAAAAAACACCCTAAAAATGGCAAAAAACACCCCAAAACCACCCTGAAACAGCCCAAAATGGCAAAAAACCCCCCAAAAATGGCACAAAACAGCCCAAAACCACCCCAAAAATGGCAAAAAACACCCCAAAACCACGCTGAAATAGCCCAAAATGGCAAAACCCCCCCCCAAAAATGGCAAAAACACCCCAAAAATGGCAAAAACCCCCCAAAACTGGCAAAAACCCCCCAAAACTGGCAAAAACCCCCCAAAACTGGCAAAAACCCCCCAAAACTGGCAAAAACCCCCCAAAACTGGCAAAAACCCCCCAAAACTGGCAAAAACCCCCCAAAACTGGCAAAAACCCCCCAAAACTGGCAAAAACCCCCCAAAACTGGCAAAAACCCCCCAAAACTGGCAAAAACCCCCCAAAACTGGCAAAAACCCCCCAAAACTGGCAAAAACCCCCCAAAACTGGCAAAAACCCCCCAAAACTGGCAAAAACCCCCCAAAACTGGCAAAAACCCCCCAAAACTGGCAAAAACCCCCCAAAACTGGCAAAAACCCCCCAAAACTGGCAAAAACCCCCCAAAACTGGCAAAAACCCCCCAAAACTGGCAAAAACCCCCCAAAACTGGCAAAAACCCCCCAAAACTGGCAAAAACCCCCCAAAACTGGCAAAAACCCCCCAAAACTGGCAAAAACCCCCCAAAAATGGCACAAAACACCCCAAAACCACGCTGAAATAGCCCAAAATGGCAAAAAAACCCCCCAAAAATGGCAAAAACCCCCCAAAACTGGCAAAAACACCCCAAAAATGGCAAAAAACAGCCCAAAAATGGCAAAAAACAGCCCAAAACCACCCTGAAACAGCCCAAAACAGCAAAAAACACCCCAAAATGGCAAAAAACACCCTAAAAATGGCAAAAAACACCCCAAAACCACCCTGAAACAGCCCAAAATGGCAAAAAACAGCCCAAAATGGCACAAAACAGCCCAAAAATGGCACAAAACACCCCAAAACCACCCTGAAACAGCCCAAAATGGCAAAAAACAGCCCAAAACCACCCCAAAAATGGCAAAAACCCCCCAAAACTGGCAAAAACACCCCAACACCCGCAAAAAACAGCCCAAAAATGGCAAAAAACAGCCCAAAACCACCCTGAAACAGCCCAAAACAGCAAAAAACACCCCAAAATGGCAAAAAACACCCTAAAAATGGCACAAAACAGCCCAAAACCACCCCAAAAATGGCAAAAAACCCCAAAAATGGCAAAAACCACCCAAAAATGGCAAAAACCCACCCCAAAAATAGCAAAAAACACCCCAAAATGGCAAAAAACACCCTAAAAATGGCGAAAAACAGCCAAAGCCACCCTGAAACAGCCCAAAACAGCAAAAAACACCCCAAAATGGCAAAAAACACCCTAAAAATGGCGAAAAACAGCCAAAGCCACCCTGAAACAGCCCAAAATGGCAAAAAACACCCCAAAATTGGCACAAAACAGCCCAAAAACACCCCAAAATGGCAAAAAACCCCAAAAATGGCAAAAACCACCCCAAAAATGGCAAAAACACCCCAAAAATGGCAAAACCACCCCAAAATGGCAAAAACCCACCCAAAAATAGCAAAAAACACCCCAAAAATGGCAAAAATGAGCCCCAAAATGGCAAAAACCCACCCAAAAATAGCAAAAAACACCCCAAAATCGGCACAAAACAGCCCAAAAACTCCCCAAAATGGCAAAAAACCCCAAAAATGGCAAAAATGAGCCCCAAATGGCAAAAAACAGCCCAAAACCACCCTGAAACAGCCCAAAATGGCAAAAAACACCCCAAAATTGGCACAAAACAGCCCAAAAACACCCCAAAATGGCAAAAAACCCCAAAAATGGCAAAAACCACCCCAAAAATGGCAAAAACACCCCAAAAATGGCAAAACCACCCCAAAATGGCAAAAACCCACCCAAAAATAGCAAAAAACACCCCAAAAATGGCCAAAAGACCCCAAAACCACCCCAAAATGGCGCAAAACGGCCCAAAAATGGCACAAAACCCCCCAAAATAGCAAAAACCACCCCAAAAATGGCAAAAAAACCCCAAAACCACTCCAAAAATGGCACAGAACACCCCAAAAATGGCAGAAAACAGCCTGAGACGGAAAAAAAAAGGCAAACCCCCCCCCCAAAAAGGCACAAACCCCCCCAAAATGGCACAAAACAGCCCAAAACCGCCCCAAAAATGGCAAAAAACCCCAAAAATGGCAAGAAACACCCCAAAAATGGCAAAAAACACCCCAAAACCACCCTGAAACAGCCCAAAATGGCACAAAACACCCAAAAAATGGCACAAAACACCCTAAAACACCCCAAAAATGGCACAAAACACCCCAAAACCACCCCAAAACTGCTGGAAACACCCCAAAAATGGCAAAAGCACCCCAAAAATGGCCCTGAAGACCCCAAAAAAAAAGCCCAAACCAGCCCAAATTTGGATTTTGGGGTGGTTTTTTGGGGCTGTTTTATTGGGGTTTTGGGGCTTGTTTAGGGATTTTGATTTTTTTGGGTTTTTTGGGGATTTTTTGGGGATTTTGGGGGTGGTTTGGGGATTTTTTTTTTTTTATTTTGGGTTTTTTTGGGGAGATTTGAGGGGGTTTTGGGGCGATTTTTTGGGGGGGATTTTGGGCCTTTTTTGGAGGATTTTTGGGGTGGGATTTTTGGTTTTTTGGGGGGGGATTTTTGGGGTTTTTTGGGGATTTTTTTATTTTTAAATTTTTATTTTGGGGTTTTCTGGGGAGATTCGAAGTTTTTTTGGGGGGATTTTTGTGGTGGGATTTTGGGTTTTTTTGGGGTGGGATTTTGGGTTTTTTTTGGGGATTTTTTGGGGTTTTTTTGGGATGGATTTTTTTAAATATTTCCTGTATATTTCAGGATTTTGGGGTGGGGTTTTTTTATTGTTTTCTTGTTGTATTTTGGCCTTTTCTCCCCGGATTTTTTCGGGAATTTCGCTGTATTTTGCCTTAAATGTCGCGTTGCCCTGAGCCTGTCCCGTTTTTGGGGTGAATTCCTCAGGAATTGGGCAATTCCCTGGACAAGTGCAAGAACAACGAGAACGTGCAGCAGATCCTGACCAACGCCACCATCATGGTGGTCAGCGTCACCGCCTCCACCACCCAGGGGTGCCACTTTGGGGCATTTTGGGCAATTTCGGGCATTTCGGGGCATTTTGGGAATTTTGGGGAATTTTTTGGGGGGATTTCGGGGGGGTTTGGGTCATTTTTTGCAGGATTTGGGGGGATTTTGCGGTAATTTTGAGTCATTTTAGGTTTGGTTTGGGGTTCTTTTAGGAGATTTTGGGGCATTTTGGGGCATAGGGCGATTTTGGGGGTATTTTTAGCGTATTTTTAAGGTTATTTTTGGGGTATTTTAAGGGTTATTTTTGGGGTATTTTAAGGGTTATTTTTGGGGTGTCGCAGGGCTATTTTAGGATTATTTTAAGGTTATTTTAGGATTATTTTGGTCCGTTCCAGGTGTGGCCGGAAGCCTGACCCCTCTGTGGTTTTGGGTTATTTTTGGGGTATATTTCGGTTATTTTTAGGGCTATTTTAGGGGTATTTTAAGGGTTATTTTTGGGGTGTCTCAGGGCTATTTCAGGATTATTTTAGGATTATTTTCGGATTATTTTGGGTGTTTTAGGTGTGGCAGGAGGCCTGACCCCGCTGGGTTTCTGGGGTATATTTTAGGTATTTTTTAGGTTATTTTATGGTTATTTTAGGGTTATTTTTAGGGTTATTTTTGTGTATTTTTAGGGTTATTTCTGGGTTATTTTTGGGGTGTCTCAGCGTTATTTTCAGGTATTTTTAGGGCTATTTTAGGGTTATTTTAAGGGTTATTTTTGGGGTGTCTCAGGGCTACTTCAGGATTATTTTAGGATTATTTTGGGGTGTTTCAGGCGTGGCAGGAGCCCTGACCCCGCTGGGTTTCAGGGTTATTTTTGGGGTGTCTCAGGGCTATTTTAGGATTATTTTAGGATTATTTTGGGATTATTTCAGGATTATTTTTGTCCATTTCAGGCGTGGCAGGAGGCCTGACCCCGCTGTCCAAGCTGCCCGCCTGTAACATCCTGCTGCTGGCCGTGGTCGGAGCCCTGACCCCGCTGGGTTTCTGGGCTGGTTTTGGGGTATATTTGGGTTATTTTAGGATTATTTTAGGATTATTTCAGGATTATTTTTGGTGTTTCAGGAGTGGCAGGAGGCCTGACCCCGCTGTCCAAGCTGCCCGCCTGTAACATCCTGCTGCTGGCCGTGGTCAGAGCCCTGACCCCGCTGGGTTTCAGGGCTGTTTCTGGGCTGTCTCAGGGCTATTTCAGGATTATTTCAGGATTATTTTGGGTGTTTCAGGAGTGGCAGGAGGCCTGACCCCGCTGTCCAAGCTGCCCGCCTGTAACATCCTGCTGCTGGCCGTGGTCGGAGCCCTGACCCCGCTGGGTTTCTGGGCTGGTTTTGGGGTATATTTGGGTTATTTCAGGATTATTTTAGGATTATTTTAGGATTATTTTCAGGGTGTTTTGTCTCTCCCAGGCGTGGCAGGAGGCCTGACCCCGCTG